TTTGTGCGGGGTGTTGAGCTCTGGCTCTTTGGTCCCGCCTCTCAACCGTCAATCAACAGGTGTACAGATTCCTGTGTGTGTGTGTGTGTGCGCGCGTGTGTGTGCGTGCGCGTGCGTGCAAAACAGTAAACAATAAAAGGATTGCACAGGTGAATGACTTGCAGGAATCATATTGGCGGCAATTAAGGCGATTGAACCCCCCACCTGCAGACATGAGTTTACGAATATTAGGGGAAGAATCAACCTCTTCCCCCCCCCTCCCCCCCATTCAGTAGGCCCCTCTCTAGCTTCTCTCCCCCCCCCCCTCCTCCCTCCCCCCCACCTCCCCCCCACCCACCTCCCCCCCACCATTCAGACGTTGACTGCGCAAGTCTGCGCATCAGAGTAATATTTGCGTAAGTAGGTCCTCTGTCGTTTGAATGTCCGCGTTTTATCAATGGGGGTTGAGGGTAGGGGGGGGGGGGGAGATGGGGGTTGGGGTTTGCCCTTTGACCTTGTCCATGTGATTGATTGATTGTACAGTTACTGCGGCTCCCACGTGCACGCGCGTGCACTCAAGCACTGGCTCGCTGGTCTACAAGCACATCAACGCCCGCACGCAAACACACACACACAAATATACCACCTACACACGCCGTGTGTAGGTGGCGTGTGTAGGTGGCATATGTGTGTGTATATAACCCCCCCCCCACCCACATAGCCCCTCAACCACCAGCAGGGGGGCTATTCCCCCCCACAATGATCCCAGTCCCCCCTTTCTCTCGTTCTATCTGTTAGCTTATTCAACTTAATTCACGGGTCTTGTTGGGGTGTCTCTGAGAAGATTGTCTAGATTCCTTGTGGCGCCTCTCCCCCCCTCCCCTACCCCCCCTACCCCTCCCCTGGTGGTGGTGGTTGGTGCTGGTGGTGGTGGGGAGGGGTTATCGGTGGTTGTGGTGGTTGTGGTTGACTTGTTCTGAATGTTGGTGGTCGTTTCTGTGGGTTTGATGTCGACTAGTTTCATTCTAGTATGAAATATGTCTTATCTTGTATTGTTTTAAATTCAATTGTTGTTCTCGCTTGTGTTTTCATGTGGTATTGACTGGTGTTCTTCCTAAAATAACAAAATACCGATGCATAATTTGTGTTTCCTGTAAATTAAATGTGTTTCGGGTCTTTATTGTAAGAGAAAACCAATGGAGATTTCTCGACATTAGAGAAAACGTGTAGTTTGCCGGGCAGACTGAAGCAATTGGTTATAACGGCATCATAGAAAATGTGAATTTCACAGGTAAAAGAAAACGAAACGTTTTACGCATGAACTAAAGTATTCTTCGCCATCACTGTTATCTTACACCATCAAATCTGTTATCACGATTTAACTAGCCTATAGTTTGAAGTGCTTTTGCTTAAAACACCGCACAAGCGCACAAACCCATTCCAACCCACCTGACCTATCAGGGCCGTTGCTTATTAGTTCGAGGAAGCTCCCAATGCGATAAAATTTAATACGCAACAAAATCCACGAGTTTGTGGCTTGGCAATGCTTTGGTCGAAGGTCCATTCCCACCTCACAACCCTAGTGAATTTTCTCATTATTATTATTATTTTATGTCATTTAATAACAGGTTATTGGGATAGTCTCATAATTATATTATGTAGTAGATTTGACGGTATAGGAGCATAGGGTATAGGTGTAATTATAGGTATATAGGTCCTGTAGGCCTATAATTACCATTCCCGCGAGGCGTTGAGTTTTTTTTTTTAGAAAGTTGGAGAAGTGTTGGTAAGTTATGACACACCTGGAGAAGCCTGGGGCAGTGAGTACAGTGCTTTCCCTCTCTCTTGTTTCTGTCTGGCACTGCTGCTGGTCGTGGCTGGCACTGCTGCTGGTCATGGCTGGCACTGCTGCTGGTCATGGCTGGCACTGCTGCTGGTCATGGCTGGCACTGCCGATGGCTGGCACTGTTTACACTGGGCATTACCGGGGGACAAACACTTTCTTTACTGTCTGATGCCTGTGGGAGTTTGCCTTGTTTTGCTTCGTCAGCCGTAGTTGGTACGTGGTACTTCCCCCTTCTGTCAGGCAGAGCCAGAGGACCCCCGTTTTCTGTTTTGGGTCCTCTGGTAGGTTAGGATAAGGGCACTTCTGTACTTACAGTTTCTTGACATTGGGAGACACTCGCCGGAACATCCTGAACGGGGAACTATTATTTGTTAAGTTTGATTTCAATTTTCTTTGAATTAATCCACAATCATATGGACCAAAATTAGTTTGACGGTGTACTCACCTAGTTGTGCTTGCTGGGGAAGGGGGTTGGGCTTCGGCTCTTCGGTCCCCGCCAGCACATCTACATTCTTCACCAATTAGCCGTCTGTAGCGTTAGTTAAAGCGTAGTTTAGAGGCTAACTTATGTGAACAAATCCACAAGGGCCGTGACGAGGTTTCGAATCTACGTCCGAGAGGATCCCAGTCGCATGAATTAATCGACTGTGCTACGACATGGGTAAAAGCATCGCAACCGGGAGTTCCACTAACCTCACAAGGATCCTTGTGAATTTGTTCATTTGATGCATCACGCTATTGTGATTTCTGTGTGTAACTGTTTTTTTCTCTGTCTCCCAACAGCAGGCGCTGAAGGCCAGGCAGAAGGAAGGCCTAGAGAGCCGGTCGTCGAGTCCACGAGACTCGGGTCTGGTGATGTCGTCCTCGGACGCCGAGGGCGACCCGAGGTCTCCGTCCGGCGCCTCCTTCAGGAGTTCCTTGGCGTTCTTCCAGAGGGCCGCTCATCTTGTGGCTAATAACACTAAAAATTCAAGTACGGATGAGTCCTTTTGGAGGAGGAGTTGGTGGGTGTGGATGTTGGAGTTGGGTGGTGTTGGGTGTGGATGTTCAGTTGGCTGATGCTGTGGGTGTACTGGGAGGGGGTGGATGACTGCTGTGGATGGTGGTCTCGCACTTGCTTATAGTCAATATTGGCTTATTTAGTAAGTGTATATGTGACATACTAATTGTGAATATTTTAGTTTACCTTGAAAAGCTTCATAGAAAACACCGACCTCACCTAATCCTCTTAGTATGTTAAGATAAGCATCTTATTGCTTCTTATTTTCAATTATTACTTAACCTATCAACGGTATAGGTTAAGTAATAATTGTAGTAATAATAATAATTGTAGTAATAATAATAAAAAAAAGTCGCTATTGTGAATAGTTGAATTAGTTTTTTGGAGAAGTCCAGAAGTTCGATCCCATTTAACAGCTTCGGAATATGTTATATTCGCGTTGTAAAATTTGTAACTGATGACGGTTGTCTCACAGGAGCCCGGCACAAGGAGGCCAGAAGACGCTCTTCCCGAGGGAGCAGTAGCTACGGCAGTAGCAGTAGCGAGGCGTCGGAGGACCCCAGCGCCGACCCCATCGGCAGCGGGGCGTTCGACGGTGGCCCTGGGGAGACCGGCTTCGAGGAGGACCTGATGGCCCGCTTCGAGGACCAGGGGACCTACGAGCAGGTCCTGTTCATCAACGGACGCCCCCAGTATCCGGAGGACTTGAGGTGAGTGCTTGGGTTAGTGGGGATTGATGGGGGTCTGGTCGACAGTATGTGTGGTGTCTGGTCGACAGTATCTGTGGGGGACGACACTATCTGTGGGGGGTATGGTCGACACTATCTGTGGGGTCTGGTCGACAGTATCTGTTGGGTCTGGTCGACAGTATCTGTGGGGGTCTGGTCGACAGCATCTGTGGTGTCTGGTCGACAGTATCTATGGGGTCTGGTCGACAGTATCTGTGGTGTCATCTTGTCTAACCTAGCCTAATCTAACCAAACTTAATTTAGTCTAACATCACTTTTCCTTAATCTAACCAAATAATATGCTTTAAGGAGGTACGGGGTAGGATATTAAAAGTTTTTCTAGTGCAATCAATATTGATGTTTTATGTACTTGTTTTGCCTTGTGGGCAAAGGGCTGCATCTGGTCCAAGTTTCAGCATTGCAACCTAAGTAGAAAGGGAGAGAGAGAAAAAAATCGTATTTTTGATGTTGACCAGACCACACACTAGAAATTGAAGGGACGACGACGTTTCGGTCCGTCCTGGACCATTCTCAAGTCGATTGTGTTGACCAGACCACACACTAGAAGGTGAAGGGACGACGACGTTTCGGTCCGTCCTGGACCATTCTCAAGTCGAACGTCAAGAAAAAAAATCGTAGTTCAGACGATTTTTCAACATTTTTCAACGTGTAACTGCAAACACAAGAGTCAACAGAAATCATTTCTATGACACTTAGCTATCACATTAGCATATAATAAAGGTTTTGCTGCCAGATTTCTATCCCAAAATGTATTTATTGCAATAATACAAATTTTCGAAGTTTCCTCCTTTTAAAAATTCTGCAAGAAAATGATGTTTATAAATGTTTATAAATGTTTATAAACTCAATATATGGACTTAGGAAAACAGTGTGGCACCAGTTTTTAGAGGCATAAACGCTACATATAATGTGTAAGTTTCATGTAAATTTAATAAAAAATGAAGGAGTAGATATAACGTTTATATTGAAAACAAATAAGTGAAAAATCAAGTCTTAAGGTGCTGCCATCTGTGGCTGAGGTTGACATCAACCAATTTCCTTCAAAATTGGCACTCTTATAGATAGTCTTACGTGCAGTCAGGTGTATAAATTTCATGTAAATCGTCCGATAAACAAATAAAAAAAAATTAAAAAAAAAACAAAATTTTTTTTTGGAATTTTTTTTGGAATAAAACTAATAATTATTTGTTTTTATTATATGCTCTTGTGATAGCTGAGAGTTATAGATATCATTTCAGTTGACACCTGTGTTTGATGTATATTTTTGACCATTTTGGAAAAATTTTGACCATTTTGGAAAAATTTTGACCATTTTGGAAAATTTTCACACACAATTCAATATTTTTGTTTCTCCCTTCCTACTTATGCTACGATGCTGAGACTTGGACCAG